TATTTTGTTAAATTAACAAATTCTACCAGATTCAAGTGATCCTCCCACTTGAGCCTATCAAGGCTGCTACTTCTAATACTAGAACTGTAAGCCATCAGTCAACACTGCACCCACGATGTTTAGATTTAAAAAAAAAGTCACACATGTTGTCTGAACCATGCAAGCCACCAGAGGGGTATGATGTGTACTGGCTGAAGCCAGCCAGTCTAGGTGGACCAGCCTATTTAGCTTTGAGCTTTGAGCTTTACAGTAAGAACAGAGAGCCTTTCCAATCTAGCATATAATGTAAACTAATCTGATCTAGTTAAGTCTCCTTCCCCAGGAGTCTTATCAACTTCACTGAAATACAGAGAACCTCCTTACAAAACAACCTCGAGTCAGAAGGCACAGGAAGTCTGGCCTAAGTCATGTTCTAAAAGAATCAAAAAAGAGGAAAGAGAATCACCTCCTGCCCCCTTGGCAGAACACCTCCTTTTAAAATGGCCTTACAGTGGTCCCTCCGCAAGGTATCCACAGTGCACCAGCCCAGGCACCCAAGAGTGGGTGGTCTCTGCAGAGGGAGGTGCTCGCTCGCTCTACCTCTGGCGCAGCCAGTTCCTGCAGCTGGACTGAGGGCAGCGCACAGACTGCACTGGGCACATTTCTTCATTTCTCACTTGAGTGCCCTTCTTTAGTTCCCTTTCAACTGCCCACTTTATATCGGCTTCATTACACCACCGCTCCATTTGTAATGTAAATTGGGAAACTCGGGGAAGTTTTTCTTTTGGCCTTGTCTACAGAAGAATACCAAGAGGTATTCAAAACGTATTAACACAAATCAATGGCACCAATAAAAGCAAAATCTCCTTAGCAACATAATCTTGATTGCAAAAGGAGAACTGAGAGCATTTAGCAGAACAGTGGCCCACATGGAATACGCATTTGTCTGGAAGAATCCAGCACAAAGCCTAAAAGAGAGATTTTGAAAAAATCCAAAATTAACTCACAGGAACAGTTACTCTTTTTTTCAAAAGTGCACAATTGGCTACATTAAATCTATCGTGTGCTTTTGGCTCAGCAACATTGTATCACACCGCTTTGCAAACTGAAATTACAACACCCTGCATGCTTCACATGAGTTACAGGGTGTTTTTTGTTTGTTTTGTTTTTTTGAAGGTTTTTTTTTTTCCCTTGGTTGATTTCTTTAGCAAAGCAAACAAAAAAATCTCAAGAAATATTCATCTCACACACTACGTGAAGAAAATTGAATGGCTACCTAACAATATATAAGACTATAGGTACAAAAGGTTGGGCTATCTTTCAGGGTTTTGTGGTGAATTAGAAGATACCAACTACCGCAAGCAGAAAGGGCATTTTTGATGGATTCGTCATTTGTGAAAAAAATTTAACACACTTCTGAGGATAGTCACACATTTTGTTAGAATGAAAAAGTTAATGAAAGAGAAGAAAATCAGAAAATAGGATTCGCTTTAAAAACAATACTGAGATGATTTGAAATACAAAAAATAATTCTTAAAACCTCTTAGTTTCTAAACACCTTGTGTAGACTCAACATTTGTATTTTGAGGCAAAAACATCTTTAATGTCTACAAATAGTTGTCCTAGTGAACCAAGTCAGGTTTATTTTCTTAGAATCAATTTGTGCACATCTTTCCCATATAATATGGAGCTGTTTTATAAAGGGTTACACTTGAATTTGGGTCAAACTGAAAGTTTTGTGAAAAACAGCCATTTGATAGACTATACCAAATATGTATCCTGAAAGTATTAAAATTTTATTTGCCTCTACCTGAAAACCTAAACAGGATAATTAATAATCCTATTTAATAGCTTCATTTGTTTTACAATTTAGGTTTAACTATAATCTTTGGAGAAAGGGTTACTGCATAAATTGCACTTTCTTCTTCTGCTCCATGCAGCGTGTAGACTGACCCCAGGACTTCATGCATGCTTCAGAAGTACTCTGCACAGAGCTCTAATCCCACCCTTTTCCTATTCTTTTTCCCAACTATAAGGCCATGGACACATAAACTGTTCTTTAAATTCACTGTACACAGTCCCTAAGGTAATCGTGTCAGCCGAATTATTTCTTGCTGGATATCTATATAAGTCACGTTTCTGGAACTGTTTGTGTGTAATCACAATCAGTCATTTCAACAGATGTCATTAATTTGGTCAGTTTCCTAATGATAGGACCTCTAAGTTCCAGACCCCATTTTTTTTTTCTTCATATAGGGGATGGAACCCAGAGAATGCTAAGCTATATCCCTAGCTCATCGGCCTGCCTTTCTTTCTTTACTTTGTGACAAGTCTTGCTAAATCATCCAGGCTGGCCTCAAATCCCCAATAGTCAGGATTACAAGCATGTACCACAAAGCCTGGCCAGTCTCATAAACCTTTATAATTCCACATAAAATGACCTAGGACCTCATTAATTAACAAAGAGGTTTTAAAAATTTCCCCTGGCTTATATTAGTTCTCCTGCTCATTAGAAAATTGCAACCAATGAAACCTTAATTTTAGAAACTAAAAATGCTGTACCCAACCAAATGTCAGGGGCCAAATGTCAGGCGCCCCAACTCTACCTTAATTGTGACCTCTCTATATATTTCTTCAACAGAAGAATTCAGTTGAACTAGACCATATTTGTTCAGTAATGATTTTAATTTGTGAATAATGAGAGCAAAGATATAATACATCTTTGAAATTTATATTTTACCAAAGTTATATTCATTTTATTTGTAATGTTATTAGACTCACTTGACTGTTATTAGAATTACATGAAAGCAGATAAAAGGGACCACTTACTGGTTCTGTTTACTTTGCTTCTATCACCTGCCACCACCAAGTCTCAAAACAGCTATCTCTCTTCAGGGAGGGCATAAACTAATAGCGTCAACAAATGTAAAAAGAAAAGAAAATAGAAAAAGGGCTTTGATAACCCGAGTGAAGACAAACTCTTGTTTGTAAAGACTTCATAACAAAAAAATTAATAAATGGTTACTAGATAAAGGTCTTTAGTGCAATAGACTTCTACATTTTAAATTTATATAGTGAGTCAAGTGGAAAGCACAAGTTAGTAGTTTTATTAAATTAAGGACAAGGGCAGGGTATGATGGTACTGTGACTGTAACCCAAGTACTCTGGGATACTGAGAAAGATCACAAATTCAAACTCAACTGAGTGAAACCCTGTCTCAAAAAACAAAGGGCATGTGCATATGTGTGTGAATAGTAATGGGAATATAGTTCAGACAGAACACGGGAAAGAGTCCAATCCCCAGTACCCAAGAAAAAAGTAAACAAATTAACTATATTAAGAGAGTAGAAACAACAACGGTCAATTACCTTCTCTTGAAAGTTGGTATTGTTTCTCTAAAAATCAACAACAAAGTTGCAATAGCTTATTTGCCAAAAATTTAGTAAGCCCTGTGTAGTCAGTTTATTTGTATTTTCCAGTAAGAGTTTGGAAAGCAAAGTACTGTCTACTTTTTGTAAAGAGAAAAAAGCAGTTACATGCAAATTGTGAGCACAGTATATTTATAAAGTAGAGGGAATGTGAAAAGGGGGAAGACATGATTTTGCTCAAGTATTTCAGATTTATATTTTAAAATGTCTTAGAAACTTTTCCGCCATGTGTGGTGGCACATCCTATAATCCTAGCGCTTGGGAAGAGGACTGCCATGCGTTCATGGCTAGCCTGGGTTACACAGTGAGTTCAAGACCAGTCTGAACTACAAAGTGAGACTCTGTCTCCAAAAATCAAAAGAAGAAAGGAACGATTCTTGAGTGCAATATTTAATGTTTTCTCAATTTTTAAACTCACAAGGCCATCCACTGTATTTAGAGATTTCTCAGTCTCTTCAATTTAAATGTAAAATCTGACCATAACTCAGGTTTGTTCTGATGCTATAGACAATTCAGAAAAGCTCGATCATTACTATTGAATATCTAGGTACTTACCATAGCATCTTCCTATTTTGCAAATGAAAATAAACCAAAGAGGCCAAGTAATTTGATAGTGTAGCACATCAGAAATGAATTCAAAATCAGTATCAGCATCCTACATTTTTTTTCAGTTATTACCAAGAAATGTAACACTGAATATTTTGTTGGCTCATAGGCCACTCTGTGGAGAAAAATATTGATCCCTATCAGAGAAACAAGTACACAGAATTATGGTTAATAATATAAACATTATTTAGGCTTCTCTTAAATTGCAATTGAAAAATCATGTACATGTGCAGACAAAGTAACTCAGATTTATAGATACCCTTTCAAATCTCAACTTCTATAAAAGGTATATTCCAAAACCAACATAAATTGGCTATAAGTGAAAAAATAGAAATTTCATTTTATAAAGGGTTAATATTTAAAATAAACCACTGTGGTGGGTAATAATTTGGCATAGGATAGGTTTATTTCTTACTCCCCGAAAGTAAGACACCAACTTCCTTCAAAAATGGTGTATTCTACTACTCCTTTTCTGTAAAGTTTGGATAGATACAATCTGTTAAAAAGAAAAACACCAATTGTACACTCCACCAAATAGGAAACTCCTTTTGTAAAATTCAAGTACCAAATCTGCAGAGCTGAGTTGTCAGCCATCATCACTTAGTGTGACTCACGTTAGCTGGCCTTCTAAATACCTAGCTAAGAATGCAAAAGAATTAATATTCTCCTAGGGAGCTTTGAGGAAGTAGACAAAAAGGCAACTGAACTACGCTCAGGTCTGGGTAAAGACTGGGCCATCCAAAGGCCAAAGGGAAGATCCACGGTACTTCAGAGAGACAGAAAGCAAAGAAGGTCCACACACGCTGGAGTTCAAAGGCAGTCTTAAACACATTGCCTTTCTGATTTAGTACCACTGATAACGCAAGCATTCACAACAAAGCATCCAGCACATAGCTAACAGGTATACCTGTGAAGCCAGATACCAAGCAACCTGAAAGAGACTCTGTACATAATGTTAATAAAACAAGTGAAATTAGGACTCATGCAACCGGGACCTAAATATACATATTTAATATAATTTTACAACCAACAATTGGAATGTTGTCAAAGTCTTTTATGGCTGGCCTATGTTTATTAACCTAAAGAAACAAACAGAAACTATAAATAATAGTGAAAATACAACCATGGAGAAATGTGGTTCTTCCTGATTTAAAATTATCTAATAAAAAAGCTAGTTTTTCTAATAAGAAATTACTTTCTATTATTCCAAGTTTTGTTAAATTTATTTTGTGGATTTTAGACCAAAATTATGTGTTTCCATTTTAAATGACTGATATCTATGTCTAGTCACTAAAGAGTCTTAATAAAAAATGTGATGAACATTTTAGACAGATAAGCAACCACCTTGCAAGGAAGACGGTGTCTACTCAAGCCCAATGTTTCACATCAGTTTTCCTAAACACAATAGACATTTTAAGAGCATCTGTTTTAACTCGGACATCCATAGTCATGGATTGTGGGATGGGTGGATTTGTGAAGTATATTACTTGAGAAAAGAATGTTTTTAAACAGGAACGGTGACTGCCTGTAAAATGCTGGTAAGGGACAAAAAGAGACAGGAAGTTACTTACTTAGCCTATGTAGGATGTGTATGCTACATTTTCTGCCAGTATCTTTTCTCAGCCTGTTTAAAAGGAGCTATGATTCATGTCCTGCAATACAAACTGTAAATCACAATAGGGTCCAAAGGACAATCACCATTTCTTGGACTGATACTCATGTAACATGGGATTCTTTGACATTTCTAATTTTCAGTAACATAAGCACTTAAATTCATGACTCAAGACAACACACTGGAGGTTACTAATGAAAGCTCAAAGCATTGTTTAAGGTATAAGTGGCTTACGTAATGCCACAGATTAAGCATTCAGGGTTCTTTTCTACAGATACAGGGTGTAAGAGTGCAAGTGACACACCTCCCAAAGTTACAAAAGTGTTTCAAAATCTTGTACTAATAACAAGTATAAAAATTATGTTAAAATATTAAAGGAATATACTAATTTTGAAATTATCACTGGCTAACAAGAAAAATGATGCCTAATAAGTTCTTACAAAGCTGGTCACTGCAGGACTATGGATTTACACAACTCTACACAGAAACACTGTGTTGCAGTCCACATAGCCATATGAAGATACATTATTTTTCACACTGAAACCACAGCGCAATACTGGAGTTTTTGAATAGCATTAATTTTAATAGTGCTACTTCAGGTCAGGAGTGGTGGCACATGCCTGTAATCCTAACACTCAGGAGGCTGAGGCAGGAGGTCACTGAAAGTTCAAGGCCAGCCTGGGCTACATACTGGGTTCAAGTCCGGCCGCAACCACATAGTGAGACCCTATCTAAAACAAAAGAATTGTACTACTTTAAGGTAGTAAGATACATTCTGATACAAGCTAAATAAAAGCGAGGAATGAATTCTTTGAACTTTGAGCTCTTCGTGGAAATAGTGCTCTATAAATTCAAGTTATGTTTAGGGGGCCAATGAAAATAAGTAATTCTCAGACAAAAAAGTGCTCTAAGATAGTTCCTAATGTCTGATATATGACATTAGGATATATGGTATATGATACTGGCATTTAACTATTCAAATTTATATAGAAGTACAGTACTTTAGAGAAGTACAAAGAAATATATTTTTTAAAAATACATTTACATAAACTAGTGAAACTGGTATTTAAAAGATTTAATACAAGGAAAAAAGGTATTGTATAGTGGTACCAATTCTTAATACAAACTATTAAGCATAGTTTATATAATTTCAAAAGTTATTCACATTATTGCTCGATACCACAGTTGCAAGGAACAAGTTCTTGACACACATTAAAACTTGTGTAATTGCAGGCTTATAAAAAACAAAAATTAACAGAGGTCATTCAGAAATTTTAAAAGTTTAAAAATGCATGGAGATATGTACAACCAAAAGGAGGAAAAATATGTATGTGTACATGTATATGTGTCCATGTATATTTAAAAGCAATAAGCTAATGTGACTCAGACTTGTATGTCACTCAATCAAAGCATATATAAACAGATTGAAAGTGAATGGGTAAACACAGTACTAATATGTCCTCCATTTCTTAGTAATAATCATTGTAAAATATCAATGGGGTACTGAAGACCAGCTTACTTTTAATTCTAGAAGTTTTCTTTCTTTCCAAAACTCTTTAGAAACATATTCATTCTGGAACTGTGTTAGATTGGGAGAAATAGTTTCCTTAGAAATTTTTAAAAGTTGTTACTTCCATACTTTTGTATATAAGGTTTGATGAACAATAAAAATAACCTAAGTAAGGCCATTATTAATATCATCTTGATAAAAAATATACAGATTGTAATGCTACTATATTTTGTGATCCTGAGCTATAGTAACCATTAGATGCATGCATACCATTCACTGATTTATCTAGCCTAATAAAAATAATCCTGCCTTAACACCTTTGAAGACAGAAGTATTTTTTAAATTTTTGATAGGTCTCTATATGTTAACAGATACATCTGCTGTAAACAAAGCACTACAAATTGTATGAGAAAAGACATGTTGGGTTCCAAAAGGCTATTAAAGAAAAATTATTATTTTAAAATAATTATTAAAAAGAAAAATAATACAATGAATATGTTTCCTAGGATAGGTAAGTAAAGCCTTACAAAGGTGTTTTTCTCTATTAAGGAATTTATAAATAAAGGGCTGTATGTACCTTGGTGATAAAATAAAAAAGGCTGGCCACTTTTTATGCTAAGTTCAAATGTATTTTTTTGAGAATACAAAAAAGTAATTCTTGAAAATCAGAATACATAACAGAAAAGAGCACAATAACTTAAGTATTAAACATCTGTATGAAATAACTTGCAAAGTTTGACAAATATGCACACATAGAACATGCACTTATTAAAAAAAAAAAAAAAACACCACATAGTTCTGTAGAACCGATGTTATGTCACCACCAGGAGAGCACCAAGCAAGGCACCATTGGAAAGACAACATACTTGGAAAGTCTCTATAAATAAAGTAAATGCTAATCTGGTCGAAAAATCGGTGTCTTTGGTAAAAATTCTATGAGGATGACCTACAAAAGGAAAAGAAAAAACATTTTTAAAATTTAAGCAGAGTTTTATCTTAAAACTTTAGTTACAGTGTATCATAGCTTTTTCGAAAACCCATTCACATTTCACAATTACAGCTTTGCATCCTTAGAACAGACATTTATTTATATAATAACCCAGAACCTTATCACTGAGAATTTTCTTTTTAAATTTCTGAACTTTAATCAAACACATAAAATTCCTCAGCTCTATATATTAGATGACAGATAAAATAACCAAAGTCTGAGAAGGTAAGGGGAGATGGGCAATACAGACTGTACCCCAGCCGTGCACGCTCGCATGAGAACACCAACTGCACACAGGTGCTTCACATTGCGAGTCTGCTTAATCCTGACAATTTATGAGACAAGTATTATTATCTTCCCTTTTTTTTGTCTTTGGTATCAGGGACTGAACTCACAACCTCAGGCTTGCCAGGCAGGCGCTTAAGCTGCTGAGCTAAATCCCGGCCCTATTACCTTTACTTTACTGTTAAGAATACTGATGATCCCAAGGGCCAGAGATCTAGCTCTGAGGCGCAGCGCGTGCCTGGCAAGCACAAAGTCATGAATTCGATTCCTGATACCAAAAAAAAGGAGTACAGATGATCCCATTTTTTGTGATCTTGCGGATTTTGTAGTATTTAAATAAATGAGTATCTGCCAAAATCTTGCCCTTTCTACTTTGTTATTTGACTGGAACCAGCCAAGTACTTCTCATTTCGCGTCATGCTTCCTTTCTCACCTACCCTCTTCCAAGGGCACTCTCTACATTTATTCTACAGAGGCTCTCATTTTCCGTACTAGGACATATGAGGTCTACATAAAGGTTACTAATTTACTTTTTGAAGTCCTCTTCTGGGATTAGCAAAATTAATTGAAGTTTGTTCCAAATGTACTTTTAACAGGAAACTAAAGAAAAATAAACAAAAAATTCACAGTAACACAGAAATATAAAATTCGTCCCAGATAATTTTTATTCAAAACTTGATTTGCCCTAAATTACAATTAATTCTTTCCTCTGCTCCAACTCTGTTTGGAATAGATGCTGATCAAAAAATTATTTGAAGATGGAGGTAGTGGTACACCCCTATAATACCACTTAGGTAGCTGAGGCAGGAGGATGCTTGAAGCCAGCCTGGGCCACTTAGTGAGTTCAAGTGCAGCCTGAGCTGCCTAATGAGTCTCTATCTTAAACAAAAAATCACAAACAAGCACAACGGTAACAAAAATTATTTGATTTGAACAATTTCCAAGTTTGGTAAACTTACTGTTTTTTTTCAGACAGCATGTCTTAATATGAGCTCCAGATCTGAAATCTAAAAGCCATCTGAGCCAAGAACCTTCATTTTTACTAATTTCTATCACTTCTGATCTGCCTCAATAAAGAAGGTACTTCAATAAAAAATATTTTGGTCATACTCTAGTTATCTTGTACTAAGCTCTTACATGCTACCTTTGCCACTCTCCTCACCTATAATTTTCCCATAAAATATTCACTAGCTTCCTGTTAAAAATACTTTCTCCCACAGTTTCTTCATTTGAGCTAGATTTTTCCATTTCTCAGCTTCTTGACCTGTAAAATAGAGGAACTGGACTAGATGACAAGATTCTCTGTACGTCTAAAATACGATTATTTAAACTACTTATGAGTTAACAGCCAATGCATACATCTGTATTTCAAACCTGTCCTCAACCTAGTGGTCCTAAGGATTTCAGTCCATAGCTATGGGCATCATGTTTTACAGCATGCCCTACGTAACTTAAAATAAACACGGGCCGGGATATAGTTCAGTGGCTCAGTACCTGCCTGGCAAGTACAAGGCCCTGAGTTCAATTCTCAGTACCAAAAAATAAATAAAATTTATTTTAAATTTAAATAAATTTAAAATTTGATAAATAAAATTAAGTAAATAAAATCTATTTTTGACTATATTTAAATTCTTATTCTTTTTTCTTTCTCAGTACTAAATACTGAACCCAGGGTCTCATGCATGATAGGCAAGCACTCTACAACATCTACCTTACTTTAAAAAAAAAAAAAAACAAAACAGAACACCTCACTAAGTGGTCCAAGCTGGCCTCAAACTTGAAATCCTCCTGCTTCAGGCCTGGAATAGTTTGGATTACAGACATGTTCTAGTTTTTAAGGATCACTCTGCAAACTCTTTTTCTTCACAAGTCAAGAAACTGGCTATTGTCTTGTTTCTTCTATATTGCACCTCTCTAGCTTATCTGAATTTAAAAAAAGTACCAAGTTAATATGTTTTCTACATTCTCTCCAGTATTTAAAACATGATCAATAAAAATTATTTTTCATTAACCAATACGACATTTCTGCAAGTTACAGAATACTCAAGGACAAAGAAGGATCGTAAAAAGGCTGAAATCATTAAATTTTTAAAAATTATTTTTAGGGAATCTTTGAGACTAAGTTACTCCTACTTTCAGCTACCACAAATACACACACTGAAAAAAATCTAGAAAGACATCTTTTTGTCATGCAAAGGTATTTTTTGTTTTCTACTCTTCTGGAGATCTTTTTATGGTGATGCAAAAAATAACAATGACTTTGGAAGTGCTTTACTACCTAAAAATTGAAGGTAAATTAAAGAAATCTATACTACAAACTAAGCATGTTAAGAAAGTTTTAGGTTATTACACTTTTTTGGTTAATAAAAGATCATAAAAATAGTATATTTTATGAATGAATGACATTCATACAGCTCTACTTGGAAATCACAGCATCAGGAATAACTTCCATTTCTGCAGTGGTCAACACTGACCCCTGAGCCTTGTTATGCTACACAAGTACTCTATAACCAGTATGTCAGCTCAGGAGTACTACTGCTTTTCTTTCCAAAGTTTTGAAATGCACAAAAATAACCTCAATTTTAGGCTTAATTTTTGAATTATAATGCAGCAAATAATTTTTCCCAAGATTCGTTAAACCTCCTATTTAGCTCTCCCTCAAAAACACATATATGAGCCACCTACAATGAAAATGCGAGACTAGTATTTTCACAGGTCAACCTGAGAGCATGTTACTTGAATGTGCTTTTTAAAATAATTATAAAGAATTATTAAATACCTTTCTCATCATAAATTAACATTTGGTATAATAAAGGTAAAATCTATATGGTCAGTTCACTCAGTAGAGCTAGTTTATTAGAAAAAAAGAAACACCTAAAAAACATTTTTTAGGTTCAAAGCTAAAAATAGGATTTGACTGCATAATAATAAAAGGACTGAAAAATTATTGTATGATAATTCCCAACTATTTAAACACTTTCCATCAATTTTCTATGCACACACATAGACTCTATGATGGTTACACTGTCTCAAAGAATAGACAAAATTCATCAGAAATACAACAGGTACTTCACAAAAACTCTGGTTTTAATTTTCAATAATTAATTCTGCTGTAATTGTTTTTCATTTAATGTAATAACCTTTCTGCTTTTAAATCACTCATATTGAAAGAGAATAAAAATTCCTATTTTCTATAGTATTCCCAACTTCTCAAAAGAAGAGCAATTGTTCAAGTAAATCAAGAGAATCTGTAAATTTAAGTTTTAAAATTCATTGTATATACACACAAAATTAAATATAAACATGATGATCAGTGTGTCTTCTATTTAAAGTAATTTTTATAAAGCCATATTCTAGTAACACTTTGAAAACTTTTCTAAAGACCACTAAGGTATACAGGCAGTTTAAGTCTCTAAAGGCTAAAGGTTTGTTAAGCTCCAGTGGCTTGGCTGAAAGGTTTTCTTCCATACTTGGAAACTTGATTAGCATTATATAAAAAAGCCATATCTGACTTGCTGCGTAACCAAAGTTGTGGTTATTCTTTATACAGCATCTAAAATTTCACACTCCATCAACACACGTTCAGGCTATTTTATCTTGGCAATTAATTTATTATTTTTCAGAACACAGTGAAGCCTTGTTTTCAAGTCATTCATAACTTTATAAATCAGTCTTGCACATGAAACCCATGCATCTGTGAACCGTAGAAAATCCTTGCAGTCAGGAGATTAAGCTCCTGACACCTTTGCTGATTAATAATCATGGAAAGAATAAGATCAGAAGCAAAATAAATGATCATTTAATAGAGAAACTCACAAAACAGCCCTTTAACTTACATATTCCATCATGTTATTCGTTTCACATTTCCTTTTGCTCAGTCTCCAGTGCAAGCACAGCTAGACAAGCAGGAGAGTAAAAGAAGAAAAATGAGCTCTATTTCACTGCAGCACACAGACTAACCCATTTGTCCACCTTTCATATTTTTAGTTCAACAAAAGCATCTGTTTCCATACTGTGCAATTCAGACCCCAACAGTACGAAGCTGCTCCCTGTGGTACTCACCTTGTGGTATAACCTATTGTTTTCCCATTCTAATAACTTCTCAATCGATCTTCGTGTCTGGAAGACAAATGAGGAAAAAGTTTACTCTTGACTGGTTTTAGAAAAACTGTTTTGCAGCTGCTTGTGTGTGAAAAGGGAAGAAGTATAAGACAGTGACTAAGTATAGGGTGGTCTGTATGGCTTCAATGTTCCAGCACTACACAGTAACCTGAAGAGACAGTAGCTTTTTAAACAAACATGACTTTGTTTTTAAGCATATGTATCTTTTAAAAATTGTTTCAAACTTACTATTTCTGATGTAAAACTATCAAAGCAATTTATTAATGACTAATGTTACTTATCAAACGATACAAATTAAAATTCTTACTTTTTTCAAATTTATTTTTGCAATGTTTAAATAGAAATGAAGTTCCTTACCATATACTATATTTTAAAACAAAAAGTTGTAAAATGCGTATCTCTTTTAGAGTAAATCCAGAAATGAAACATAATTTCCAAAAAAATCTGTAAAAATCAAATCAATTTTAAAAGACTTGAAATATTTAAATACTGCCCATATTGAAAAGTCAGTTTATTAGATTCTAGATAGATTTCTTAAATACCCAAAATTTTATTTAAACTAACATAAAAAGTGGCATCTGGTAGGAAAACAAATTCTTAATCCAATAGTACCGTTTCCGGAATCAACTGAGAAATTTGCTTCACTTGATTATTGCAATATATACTATGCAGCAAGCAATGTTTCTTGCTTGGGAGGATGAATAAAGGAGAGGATAATTCATGGTGCCAGGTGTTAGGATGAGATGGACACAGCTGCAGGTGCAAAAGTAACAGTGTTGCCATAGGACCACTGCAACTCAGTGCAGCTGCAGCTTTCTTGAGAGGGCATATAAAAGCATCTATTGCGATTAATTTGGTACTGCTATAAATAAGTATTAATCGAATATGAAAACTTGCATGGCAATCAAGGAGGAGCTACATAAAAATTGTTAGGATCAAGCTGGTTCTGAAGTTTAAATGTTACATAATAAGATGTTAATGCTTATTTAAAGTATCTACTGTAATGCAGCTCCAGTGCTACCTTTTGGCATGTTGAACATGGTAAAGACACACCAAAGACACATAGGTACCAATTATAATTCACAGCTACCAATGAATAACCATTACTGTTTTACATTTCCCATGCTTAGACCACAAAAATAAGAAAATCAACTACCTCTTGGGATAATAATACATCAATGACTAATTTATTACATTACTTTTTTGAACAGTCTTTTTGGCAAGAATTTTAAAGAAAAAAGTGCCCTTGTTAACAATGATCAGCAGACCTCACTTGTTTCTTTGTAAAGATAGCCTTTTAGAGGCAGCTCTCCTTTTAAATGAAAATAGGGCAGCAGTTATGGTCACACTTTTTGTTAATTTAGTTGCCAGTCAGCCCCAAATCAAAAGAAAATAAGGCTGCAGAGTGTAATTAACATTCAGTTCAGTCGTTTTGTCCCTTGTCTAGCCCCCAAGCTTTGTTAAAATTGCCATCTGAATGCTGAAGGCTGTAGGGAAATCGATTTGATTCTAATCGCACCATGAAAAGAACATGATCTAACTGCTTTCAGCCCTCCGTAAATCTGTACTAGGTCTTTAGCACAATGCAACTTCCAATTTAAAAAGCACTGAATGTCTCGTCAATGACTTTGTGAAGAAAAAAGAACAAGAAGCAGACATAAAAATTCCAATAGTTGTTTAAGCATTAAAGTTCATTTGCATCACAGCGAACCTGAAAAGGGCTGACCTCTCAAACCGCCTCTCAGGTCTATGAAGTTGTAGCCTTGACAAGCTCACATTGACAGAGCTCATTGACTCTGAAAGGCTACTCTATCAATGGTGAAAAATGGCAATAGGTTCTACTATGAGCAGGCATCTGCCTGCCCACCCGCTGCTAAACCAATGGTAAAACCGATTCAAAACCTGAATCTACCTTGTAATCTTCCTTTCCAGGGCCTTTTAATAATAGATTAAGATTACTATACAATTTGAGGTTTTACTTTTACTGATAGTTTAAAAGGGGTAAGGAGGGATGAAAGAACTAGGGTAGAAACAGTAAGCTTTCTAAGTTCATTGTTTCATATTACTATATAAAAATAAGATCCAAAAATATAACATTACGTTTTACAAATATTTATTACTGGAAGAAAAAAAACGTTGCCACCATCATTACATCACAAATTTAAACCCATAATATATTTTAATGAGAATGGATCTCAATATGAGATACATATAAGCAAAAACACATATACAATCAATTTAAAAGTACTTTTTAGAAATTTAAAAGTATTTAATTAACTTCAATCAATACCAGTACTTGAATAAAAGATAATTACAAAGTATGAGTCTTAAATTCCAAAATGCTTAAGTAGGAATTCTGAGTTTATTCTTTGCTGCTAGTTAAGAGTTTAATGATAGGCTTTACTATAATAATTGTATCTTAGAATATTTAAGAACTCTTAAAACAAACAAACCCTGCTCTACCATTTCCTGCATAAGCATCTAAATACACAATATCTCTATACACTTACAAACTTAAATAAAAGCTATGAATGGGTGCCATCTAATTGTTCCTGTAAGACTTTTTTCCTGCTTGACAGGTGAAAAAAAAAAAGACCACTTGCACGTGCAGTTTAATTAATCATTGCACTTGACATCACAATGATTTACAGTGAGGAGCAGGTGAGAACACACAAAACCAAAGCGGAACCCTTGATGGGAGTGGAACATTTCTAGCACACTAAGGTGACAAGTATATAGATTCTAGCAGTGATTTAAAAAGAAAAGAAAGTGCGCCACAAATTATTTGTTAGTAACAACAAAAGCTCAAATTAAAAAGAAAGAAAGCTTTAACTATTGAGAATATTTAATACTCTGCAATTATTTTTAGTTAACAAAATCAAAATATATTTTCAAGATTAAATACAATACCAATTTGGCAGATAGTAAAAAATATGACATTTCCACATTTATAAAAGCTTTTATAAAGCTTTTAAATCACAATAAAAAGAAAGCACACTATAACTGCAGTCATCCAGAAGTAAAACTTAAGAGGAGTTTGTGTCCACAGAGCTGTCAAAGTTATTTCTGATGAAATATATAATTCAACATTGCCAATCTCTAAAAATTACTAACTAGACAAGCAAACCTATCCATACAAAAGCCTATCTTTGAATTTTACATGCATATAGTGACCTCCAAATTCACCATAAGTTCAAGCAAATTAATATGCAACAGAAAAAATACATCACATAGACTGTCAAAATGAAATACCAACAAAATATCATTTTTCTAGGCTAGCTTTTAAAAATATGACATCTTAATTTTCTTAAAAGAATTTAGGCCTTGTGAAAAGCACCAGATTGATAGTCATGGGAACTAAAAACCTTCTATTTAGCTGAAAGAACAGGGGAAAGGGCAGTGCAGGCTGCAGTACAAGCTCCCCTCCAGTGGGCCTTAATTCTTTTCAGAGCTCACACCCCGGGGGAGAGAGGACAGGTTAGTGGTTTTTTATCAATGAATCTTTAGTCTTCATTTGCTTAAGATGATCAGCAAAAAATCTCATTTTATCACAGGTTCTTAATTTAAGAGACCAAGACCACCAACTAATCCTACGTAAGCAAAACAGTGTGGGGATGATGCCAGTCACTAACCTGGTCAAGCCTCCAAGCATCTGACTCCCACCCATCTCCCTTAGCAGAGTTCACTGTCAATGACTTTGTAAGAAAAGCAGCAACAACAAAATATTTTCAACACCTTGGTGGTTATATATCAGTGGTGAACTAATTCTAATGTAGCAATTCAGCTATTTTATAGTAAAAATTAACAACTAATTTGGAAACATCATTTCAGTTACTAAAATAGTATTAAATAGATTTAAATAAAGCAGTAAGTAGAAGAAAAATAAGGATAAACATTTCGGCTTCTGTCTTTACTGCCTTTGGTTCCTTTGAAATTTTTTTATAATGTGGAAGTGAGCTAAACATGAAAGTTATAAGGAAGTGGAACAAAGTAAATGATTTACAAAATGGGGAGGTGATTAATCAACTATTAATCAACAACTGAATATGTCATCACCCATAATTTCTAAGAATGAGTTACAATAGTAACGCTCATATGAAATAAAAAAAACTTAAATTACTTAGACTTTCGCTCAAATTTAAATTTCATTATGAAGTATTTTTGTTATTTTTTCTGAAGACATATAACTTTCTAAGGCATAAAAAATTATTACACCTGTAGATAAACTATGTGCCATAAGATATAAATAATTCTTTCAGAGCAGCAAGGAACTACCCAGAACATCTGAATGTATTTTCTCTTATTTTGTTATCTTAAGACTTAATAGTATATTTATTACCAGTGGTTAATTTATAATGATTGCTTGAAAGTCATTTTGCAAACTCTTATAGTCACTTATAAGAGTTTAGCTATTTTAAACCCACTATTAAAATGCATTTGAATTTAATTTATTCATAACACCACATGTCAAAAGTGTATTTCTGATGTTTAATTTCTTATTTAAAACAAATCTGAATTTTAAACACCTAAGTTTATAATGCATTGATTAAGCTTTAGGTAAAAGAGCTATGGGTATATTCATAATCTTAACTGGTAAGTGTTTTTCAAGTAAGAATGATAAACTTCTTGAGACATGTACATAATGAAATTGTTAAAATAAGAGAAAGTTTTAGTTACAAGTTGTTAGAAGAAAACCTTGTATGATTTAGAATAAATGATTTTCTAATTCAGGAGAAACTTCAAGAGAAATGACCTGATTCATTTGTTTGTTCTGGATTTATGTTAAATCTTATATTACAATAACATAGAGCAGATTAAATACATTATCTCAAAATTAAGAGATAAACTGCTTTCACCCAGAAGATAAACAAAAACAAATTTATTCTCAAAAGAACTGTTAAGCAAATTCCCTCCCTGTATATATAGGAAATTTTTATGTGAACACTTTCTATCATTACAGCAATACTTTAACGTTTGTTGAAAAACATTAGTATTAG